CTCAACCGCATTTTTTACTTTCTCCTCACACTTCTCTTCACGAACATTTATTTGGACAAAGCCTCATGTGACCTCTTCCCCACCTGACCTTTGACCCCTGTAAAACTGTCAATCTTCTTTTTCAAAGCGTTGACGGAGCTGAACGTTCAGTCCTGCTTCGTGCTCGTTGGTTTATCTGTGATTTGTCTATATTCTGTAAAGACGTAGTGGTTCAGACTGCGGAGCCGGGGTGCACGGGTTCGTGTTGGGAATGGGACACCCCAAAACCCTGGAACACGACCGCAGCTGCTGCATGATTGCCTAGCAACGAGGAGGTGATGGACGCAGCCTGAAGATGGATGGCCACCATAAATCACCGAGTGTGTAGGAGGCAGAAGCCACAGAGGAACAGGACGAAAAAACAAAACAAGAGTTTTTTTTTGTTTTTTTTTTCTTCAGGAGCAGCCGTGGAGCTGGCCCTGGCCTGACCTCTCACTGTACTCTTTTATTCATGATTGTGTAGGGCAAAGGGACACGCCAAGGTAGTCATTACAATCAGTCTCATCTGAAGATATTCACACATACCAATAATCTCCAAAAACACTCTGCCTGTATCCTCTCACTTTTATGGCTCCACTCACTTTCTGAAGACGATAATAATGATCGACTATACCTTTCATAAAAACAACCCTCCAGGCAAGGCAATCTGGGTAGTGTAGTTCGGGATAAACATCCCTGGGCTATCTGATTATGGCCTACTGCTGCGGCGCTGGTGTCTAGTAACACTCAGAGAGAGGGCTCAGTCATCCATCACACAGTGAGTGTCTGTCTCAGGCTTTCCACCCTGCTTCTCCTCGTCCTGGCTCCAGTTACAGCCATACACGGCCGGCCTAAATAATATTCTTCATGATAAATGGCACTATAAGCCTGGTATCCATCATTAATCTGATTTTTAAAGAAGCATCCATCTTGGAGAGAGCCTGTTAGGGCCACGGGAGAGGCGAGCGGCCGGGTTCATTTAAAGGCCAGGCAGCTGCATGACTGATACCTGTCAGCTCCGCTCATCAGGGAGAGGCACACATCTACACACACATTAAACACTGACGCCATATGGACCAGTGCACACACAGCTCAGGGGCCCTGTGCACAGGCTCACAGCACACACACAAACAGGATCATTCTTATTAGGGTTACAAAACATTTCTCCACTTCATACAGACATGTCACAGCGACGTGTCACACAAGAACTCTGTGTCACTCATCAAAACACAAGTCGGTGTAACTCAATCTGCTCTGTCATCTCCAAAACATCTCCCTCCCAAACGGCTCTCCTCTTGGGCCCAAGGAAACTCATTTTATCCTGGAAAAGCTGGGAGACGCAGACAGGCAGACAGTGACAGTGTCTCCACTGACTGCACCTCATTCTCCATTCCTGTCCTGTTCTTTGTTGCTCTGAGTCCAGTCTCTGTCTTGTTTTGTGCTCTCTCTCTCTCCTCCTGCCCCTGCCTCCCTCCTCTGTGTGTCTGCTAAAGCCTGCTTGATAAATGACACACGTCACAGTGTCAGGAGCGAAGGGTGGGTCAGTGATAAATGAGCGTGTTGAAAAGGAAATCGGCTCTGTGGCATGGCCGCCCTATTCTCCTCCTGGATTGGGTTTCAGGACCCCTAAAGACCAGAGCGGCTCAGCTTCCCCCCGAAAACAGCACACACCCCGCCTGGCTCTGGGACCAGGAGGGGACCGGCCTGGTCCGATTGTCACCACAGTGCAGCTGCATCTATCACAACAACACTGGGACTATTTTTACAAAGAGCCAGACAACAGTCGGTCTGAAAAAGCTCCAGTGAAAGACCACTGAAAGTACGGCTACAGCTTTTCTATTTGTGACACTACTACTGCACTTACACTGCTCTCTCTGCTCTTCAATGGCTATCCCTGTGGCCTGACATCTGCCAAGTGAGTGTTAAAAAGGAGAAGGCCCATTTCAGCGCCCCCGCACTGCTCTCCTCCTCACCCCCCTCTCCTCACCCCCCTCTCCTCTCCCTGGCAGAGTGGCACTGTTATCATTACACAGATTTATGGAGTCAGGGCCTGTGGCAAAAACAAAAAGGCATCTGTCAATACCTGTGGGAAACGCTCCATCAGGCCCTGTACACACCACTCATTAGCTATGCACTTATCAGACACATAGATCACAGACGTGACTCAAGCTCGCCGCCATCTCGGACTTTCATTAGCAATGAGGCCAAAAGACTTTTCTGGGCTCGCACCTGCAAACAGAACGGCAGAGGGAGGGGCGCGGGGCAGTTAAAGAAGGCTAAACACAGTCAGCCCGTATGTCAGTTTAACTATTCCACTGTCCCCTGCTGGCTCTGTCAGGATTTCACACATAAACAACAGGAAGGCAGCCTTGAGATAACAACGGCTCACTTAATTTCACTTTAGTGGCCTCGTGCATGTGTCCACAGTGTGCGCCATAAACACTGTAGCTCTCTTTTTAGGCAAATGTCTGCACCAGTAAAGACTGACGAGAAACTGGAAGGAAATCTTAACGGCTTCTAAGAATTATGGTCTGACCTCTGCAGGTGGTCTACAGTTACAATTCCTTTCATCACTATTACAAGCCAAACACACATACGCACTCTAAGCTCAAAGCTAACAAATCAGACGAGGCTGATTCCAGCTCACACACTCACTCTCACACACACACACACACACGCACACACACACGCACACACACACACACACACACACACACACACATACATGAGTGATGGCTGCCAGTCTGGCAGCTGGCGTCCTGACCCTGCAGAAAGACGAGACTGCTGTGGAGACAGGCCCAAACCAAACAGCTCTGTCACAGGAACTGGTCCAGGCTTTATAAAAGCAACCTACAGTATTATGTCATGTGTGTCTCCGAGGAGCCTTTGACCTGTGCTAACGCTAAAGGCACACTGCAGCATACTGTACGCGTTAGACATTCCTCTTAAACAGCAGCGTCGAGGTTCACGTGTTGTGTAGCTGATGCCGAATTTCTAGGCATTTTCAGTTTGTACATGAGCAGCTGCAGACGAGGTGTGAGGAGGACGTGTGTATTTGTCCTGTTTACGTGGCCCACTGCCCTCTGTTGTTAAGAGCACTCAGACCTGACCCAGGTACGCAGCCCATTTGTCACCCGCAGCGGAAAATTGAGTTACAACACTACCAAAGGCGAGCTCTCTGTGTAATATCAAGTTGATTACATCAAAGTGGTGGCAAACCTCATTGGGGTGGGCACCTCGAGCTTGTCATCTCCAATCACAGGGGCTGTCAGGACTCCATCAGACTCATGGCTAATTGGACTAACGCTAATGAAGCAGGCAAAACAAGTTTTGTAGAGCAGAGAAGGCCCTCTCGCTGGAGGAAGCAGGGGAGGGTTTATGTTAGAGAGACAATGAGAAAGCAATGGGCTGGTGGAGGGGGGCAGATTTTTCATGCAAGTCTCAAGGTTGCAGTGGGCAGACTCTCCCCCTAAGTCCCTAATCAAGGCCCATCATCTGTCATCCTTTTCTTTGCTCTCTCTATCACCATGCTCTGTGCTGCAATCAATTCATCATCAGCCTTTGTGTGCCACTGAACAGTTGACAACTTTATAACTTGCAGCTGCACAGGCTGAGTGACAGGGGTGGAAGGGGAGCACGAAAAAATGAAGAAATGAATAGATGAATGAATGAACAAAGAGGCATGGTTTCAGGGAGAAAAGTTGTTTTCTAAAAACACAAAACGATCCATATTACAGCCTTTTATTCTTCTTCGACAACAGAGACGCAGTCGTGCAGTAAGGGAGGAGAGAGGAGGAGATGGAGAAAAAACATCCCTCACTGATCTCAAATCAGAAAGCTTTCAGTCATTCTTTATGTGCTCCCCGCGGCCACTCTGAGCCAGTGAGCATGTACATTAGGCTGGGGCATTTTGATGAAATAAAAGCCCAGGCCAGCTTATGGCTAAACAGAATGGGAGCACTCACTCAGCCTGTCTCTGATTGACCATTAAAGCCATTGATGAATGGGCCTGTCAGGGGAGAGACAATTAAATCAAACATGAAACAAAGCCGTTGTGACGGCCCAGTCTGACAGAGCAAACCCATTCCTCCCCTCCATTACATAGCGCACGGCTCCTTTTACAACCCCTAACCCACTGCACCCTCCCTCCCGCTCAGCGCTCTCCCACCGAAACAAGTGTGCACATGGCAGTGTGATGTTCTCTGCTGGAAGACTGCGCGTCTGTTTGTGTGCATGATGTCTGACTGTGAAACCACTTTGTCCCCCTTCTCTCACTCTTTTCTGACTCACTTGACCATCAAGAGTCTGGCTGTGTGTCTGCGTGCACTCAAACTACGGGCCCTTTCACTGTGACGTCAGGGGCCCGGAGCACATGGTGGGAAGTGATTTTCTGATGCAAATCGGGGAGGATCAGATCAAAGCCGCATGACAGCCAATCAATCAACCGTCAAATCCGACATGGCAACTGTCGATTATGGCTCCTTCCAGCTCACAAAACTCCATTGTCTGTCCACAAATTGTTTATCTTTTACTTGGGCGAGTAGAAAGGACAAAAAGAGGCAAAGCTCTTTCTCTCGCCCCAGAAAAGAAAATGCCCTTGGTGTGAATGCGCACCGGGATCTTTACGGTCCTCGTGCTACGCCTCACGCGCTTTCTAACAATAAGAAAATAAACTTTTATCCAACAGGAGTTCGAGCAGCACAAATACTATATTATTGTCACTATGTACACAGTGAACGGTGTAACTTTTGGAGGAGCAGCGAGCGAAAGTTAGACGCGCCGAGCAGCAAACCAAATAAGAGCAGAGCGCAGAATAACGTTGTTGTAAAACGGCGACTGTTGCCGTAATAAAAGCACCGACAGAGTTGGAGAGTCAAGTGAAAACGGAAATGCAATGACAGTAAACAGGTCTTCACAAAACAAAGGTAACACCCGCAGCTTTACGCTATCCAAGAAATCATTTTACGCATGTTACAACATACCTGGAGCGCGTTTGGGCGCTTCTTGTTTCCTTCTTGGCATTTTGATCCGGATGATTCGGTGAAACTCTTGTTTTAGTGAATAAAGCCTCGCGTTATCCGGGAAGATCCACCTCTATTCAAAGAGACTCACGCCTTCGTTTAGTAAACTGCATGACACCGGGGAGTCCGACGGACAGGAAACTAAAATCATGGTCACGAATAGCACGGAGCAGTCAAAGTCAGCGGAAACATAGAGACGTGAAGGTGGAGGAGGAACGTCTCTGCGGCGTGAGATCGCGTCAAAAACACAAGCGCCGATAGCGCGTCCACCGCGGCTGCTTCTTCTGGCAACAGGCAAAGTTGAGGGATAAGAGCGATGATCGCGTCACTCACAGTGGGAGAATGGGTAAACCCACCACGCGGTTAACTCTTTAGTTGTCAGAGGGCGGACACTACGAGCTCGAGTCCTCCTCCTACCGCTGTCTTTACAGGAATCACAGCCTGGGAAAGAAGAGACACGGTATTAGCGCGTTATTACGCAGCTCCAGCGCAGACCGGCTCAGCTTTTCACTCATTTTAACAACACAAACCTGAGCAGAGGTAAAGGTAAAGACAAACTTACCACGAGGCTTTTTTAATCAACAATATAACGGAAAACTACAGCACAACCTTAACATGGCGAAATTCTGTTCACCATAACATCTGAATCAGGCATGTTGTAATAATATTGACGCATTTATAACCCATGAGACAGCTTTTCATTGGAAATAAGCAACAGACAAAATCATAATAAATAAACATTTAACAGGAACCGTGAAGGTGACTGGATTTTCTACTGTAAACCGGCTAAAACACTATTTTAGTGTGTGGAAACTTACCCAGCACGAAAACAATAATTAACAGACTATTAACATAACATCCTGAGCAGAGAAGAAGAGAAGCCCCTCCCACCTCCCCACCTCCCACCTTCCCCTGCCTTTAAGAGAACAGAGCCCGGGTCCCTGTCACTTTAACAACATGAAATTACAACCCAAATGGGATGTCAGGGGTTAGCAGTGTCTCCAGGAGAACTATGTGAATATATTTCCTCCTATGGACTTGGCCCCATGGTGACCTCCCCCTGGAACAAGAAGTAACCCGGTGATTGGCGCTTTTACGGCCAAATTAAAGTGTCTCGAGCCGGGCAAAAGGGAGCAGGAGAAAGCGGGGGCCTTCCTAAAATTAGTGAACCATCATGATGACAGAACATTACAGGGACATGGTGTCATCCAGCTACTGTATCGATTAACCCATAAATACGATACGGCCAGGGTGAGGTGCTTCCGCGAGGCTCACATATGAAGTTATCTGTCTCGCTCGGAGTTAAAACATAATTGTGATCCATTCCATGTCAACGTTTATCACCGAAGGACATTAAAAAAAGACAGTGTTTAGTGAAATGCAGCTTTTGATTTATCTTATTTCACGTTTTGGATGTGTGGCGGCGTCGGAGCTCATTTTTTACGACAAAAAATGAGAATACGCCGAAGGTTACGGTGCGATTCTACACTGTCTTTTTAAAGAAGACACCATTTTGGTTTTTGTGTTTTTATATTAAACTATAACAACTATAAATCATACATTTTTTGTACATTAAAAACATAATATTGGTGTAAAACGGCTTAATAATAGAAGGAGATTACCTGATTTTCTGTTCAAAATTGTCAAATTTTTTGCACATTCTGTTATTTAAACGTGCATGAATCAATTTAAAGATGCATTATGTAACTTTTTGGTGATGGATATGACATTGCTCTACCTGGAATGTTCCAAAATATGACATTTAACAGCGCTACCTTACTTTTTTTTTTCAATTACAGGTGGTTTTATTGCTCAAAAATACCTAGAAGAACGAAGAAAGTATATTCTGAATGTGAGCGGGGTCGCCTCTCCGCAGATCTGACATGTAACTTGGTCTCGTTTGGTCTCTGTCAAGATAAAAAAAAAAGGTTTAATATCATACTGTGAAACACTTCAGACAAAGCAAAAACATGTCCACGGAGAAAATTTTTTTGAAAAAGTTAATCGCATTTTCATTTATGTGTCGCTTAAACTTGCAGAAGTCAATCTAAAAACAGCAAAATTTTACAAAATATGTCGACTGTAAAGGTTAATTCTTGTTTTCTTTAAGTCAAAAAAGCCAAAAAACGTCATGAACATGTAACAGAATGAATATTAAATGCATTAATTGCCAGTAAATCCAAACAAACACACACAATTTGCAAATCCGTACACAAACGTATCTTTTTGTCTGATTTCATGCTGGAGGTGAACCGAGGTAAACCCTAAAACCTTCAAAAGCAAAATGTTACCGAATATTTCAGACGCCAGGAGCTGTTATTTATAGGTTGCTGGAACGACTGGTTACGAGACAATGCAGAAAATTTCAACAATTTCCTCGTGTCTGAAAGCAATCCTGCCTCTAGTGGACACTCAAGGCACTGAACTCCAAAACACCAATCTCACACTTTCACATTTTACTGTAGTTTTTTCATTTAAATTCAACAAAATCTGGTTCAGTGGGCAACTCCTGACTGAAAAAAAAAATTACAAACAGTTCAATACTTGCTGTAGCTTCACTGAATTGTATTGATTTAATTTAATTTAAACCAGGGTGTAGCTTTGTATCGTGTTGTTTACTTGTTGCAAACATACATTACTATAGATAAATACAGAAGACATCAAATATATGAACCAAGATACATGGAATTGTTTAAAATATTTGAGATTTTAACTCTTTTTTACTACATAATTCTACATGTTTTACTTCAAATCTAACATCTTCTGTGTGTATATAAAATGTAGAACAAACCTGGTCCTTTGGTTGACTCTGATCGTCCCTTTTAAGCTCATTTGGAATTACAAAATAAACATATTTTATAATTTTGCCTCATGCATCAACTAAAGCTGCGTTGTTTTTATTTTAGAGATGTTTTTAAATGACATTTTTTGTAAGACAACCTCATTTTTTCATTGCTTAGTCATAACATAAACTCTTACCAGTCTGACCAGCTCATTAAAACAATAATATGTACTGCTTTTTTTTATAAAGAAATACAATTAATATTATGAAGAATTGAGTTAAGCATTTTCCTCCACAATGTTTTCTGTTTCTCATGTGGCCCCCTGAAGTAGAAGGTAGTAAACAAATAGAAAAAGAGTCCAAACTTTTTACTGTTAGTGTTTATATTTAAAAAAATAAAAAAAAAATATTCTGGATGATGAAAATGCAGTGAGTAACTTGAAAGTGTTTTAAACCCCCTGATTGTGAAAGCAGAAATTTACCCACAATGACTGAATGTACATTAGTATATTACACAAAATTGACTATTGTGAGTTTAAAGTCGTGTTATAATGTTGCTACCTCCTCAAAAACATGCCTGGACTTGTGTTTTGTTTTGTTTCATTCACACATGTTTGAGTTATTATTACTCTGTCCACATCTCCAAAGCTCAAAATGCTCTGTTCCACCTTGTGACGTCATGAAGTGATATAGTTTTCAACTTAACAGCTCCTTTTTTACTTTTAGTTTAGTAAATATTGTCAACTCCAGGGCTGAAATCATCCAAATCATTCTAGTGAAACTGTACGGACGTTAAAAACACAGAGGAGCACTTGATGTATAACTGCATGACATCACAAGGTGGAACAAGGTGGAGTGTTTTCCATTTAAGAGAGAAAAAAAAACAGAATTTCCAGCATTTTTCGCTTGTTAAAAATGTGTGAATGAAAAAAAACACAACTCCAGGTCTGTTTATGACGAGGAAACAACATTATAACATAGATCAAAAAATAGAGTAATACAGACCCTTTAAAAACTGGGTCGCGACTCTCAGTTGGGTCACAAGAGATTTTTTGGGGGGTCGCCTTGTCATGATCTGTATGCAGTGTTGGGAAGGTGACTTTTAAAATGTATTCCCCTACAGATTACAGATTACATTCCTCAAAATGTAGTTTGTAACGAAATCCATTAAATTACTTAAAGTGAGTAACGTAATCTGAATACTTTGGATTACTTGGTTTGCTGTAGAGAAGCAAAGACGAGGAAATCTTCACATAAGAAGTTTTGTCTGGTAAAAGAAAATAAAAAAGCTCAGACTTTACTCAACCAAATTAAAAATATTATTGATAGAAGAGAAGGAGACACTGTCCACGCAGCCTGATTTAGTCCTGTTAAATCCTGATTTAGTCCTGGTTTAGTCCTGGTTTCGTCCTGGTTTAGACCTGGTTTTAGATCTGGTTTATATCTAGTTTAGAGCTGGTTTTAGTCCTGGTTTAGTCCTGATTTATATTTAGTTTAGATCTAGTTTAGTCCTGTTTAGTCCTGGTTTAGACCTGGTTTTAGATCTGGTTAATATCTAGTTTAGAGCTGGTTTTAGTCCTGATTTAGATCTAGTTTAGATCTAGTTTAGTCCTGGTTTAGTCCTGGTTTAGACCTGGTTTTAGATCTGGTTAATATCTAGTTTAGAGCTGGTTTTAGTCCTGATTTAGATCTAGTTTAGTCCTGGTTTTTGTCCTGGTTTAGACCTGGTTTAGCTTCCGGCAATGAGTGGAATTACAGAAAAAAAAAAAAAAGGGAGATATAGCCCAAAATGTGAAAACAGGAAAATACCGCCGTGTAATCCATTTATTTCAACAAAGTAACTGTAATCCAATTACCACTCACTGAAACAGTAACTGTAACTGAATACAGTTACTCATAATTTGTACTCTGATTACATAACTCCGGTACATGTAATCTGTTACTCCCCAACACTGTCTGTATGTAGGTCTGTAATATACTGTACAGTTCTGACACTGATATACTGATGCGCTCTCCTCCTGCAGCCTGGACTGGAACACGTCACAAAAACAGACAGGCTCATCTATCTCATCAGAAAAGTTGAAATGTTAAGACATGTTTTGTATAATTTCTAATCTTTTTGTCATTATTTTCTTGACTGTTTTGTTCCAATATTATGAATGGTTCAATTGAATGTTGAAAAGAAAAAGAAATAGTCTACATTTAAAGTCCAAATAGGCGACTTATGGATCCTTTTATTCAGGGTATCCCCGGGTTTGACTACCCCAAATTGAAGACTTTTTAAAGACCTTTTTAAGTCCACTTAAATGAAAATTAAGACCAACATCACACCCATTATGCGGGTGAAAAACATCAGGTCTACTTCTAAAAATGACCATTCAACTACCAGTACTATATCTAGAATCTAAGGCTGCGTTTATATGATGACGATCTGAACAGAAGACACAAAAGTGGCGTCGCGTCTTTAGTTTTTATTCCACATTTAGATGAGTGTTTTCGGGAGGAAATCTGCGTGCATACGGTGAAGCAAAAGTGTGTGGAATTTGATTGTGTATGCATGACGGGCGGCTCGGTGGTGACATATGTGACGTAAACGCGTACGCGACGTGAGCAGATCTGACCAGAGTTTTGCGTCTTGGGCAG